TGGTGAAATGAAGTAGGCTAATGACAGGGGCAATGGAAGGGGAACCTTATCAGGAGAGTCTGGGGAGCTGTCAGTGTATTCCCAGGACTTGTCAGGGTGAGGGGCCCTGGCCGGTGCAGCACAAACCCTCTCCCTGGTTTGGGGGAGGGTGACTCCTCACAGCCTAGACAGAGTATCTCGTTCACACGGGGTGCAAGAGCTCTTGAAAAGCGCAAGGCTGGATCCTTGAGGGTTGACCTGGGGGAGGACCCACCTGGGAAAGGATGTCTGGATGTCCCAGCACCAACTTTTCTCACCCGTGTGGTCCTTCGCTTCTAGGAGCTCTCAGGTACCCTCCCTCCAAGTATGTTGGTCAAAAAGTACTGTGTTTTAAAATAATTATTATTTTCTTATTGTAAAAAGTTTTAGAACTTTTAAAATTTGCATAACACAAAATTAACCATTTTTAAGGCTACACATCGGTGGCATTGAGCACATTCACTTTGTTGCGCAACCACCACCACCATCCGTCTTCAAATTTTTTTCATCATCCCAAACTGAAACTCGGTACCATCAAACACCAATCCCCCAGCCCTCCCCTGGCCCTTGACAACCACTGTTTTACTTTCTGTGAATTTGTGTCTGTGAATTTGAATAGTCTAGGTACATCATTTCAGTAGAATTATGTCATAACTGTCCTGTGGGTCTGGCTTATGTCCCTTAGCATAATGTTTTGAAGGTTCATCCATGTTGTAGTATATGTCACAATTTCCTTTCTCTTTAAGGCTGAGTAATATTCTGTTGCACATACACATAGCATTTTGTTTATCCCTCCCTTTTCCAGTGTCCCTTTGGGTTGCTTCCACCTTGTGGCTATTGGGAATGATGCTGCTGTGCAGATTGTTGTACAAAAACTGGTGGGGTTCCTCCTTGAATTCTTTTAGGTGTATTCGCAGAGGTGGAATTGATAGGTCATAAACTAGCCCATGTTTAAATTTTTGAGTAACTGCTAGACTGTCTCTCATAGCAGCTGCATGATTTTACATGCCCACCAGCAACACATAAAGGGTCCAATTTCTCACATCCTTGCTGACACTTATGGTTTTCTGTTATTTTTATTTTAAATAATAGCCATCCTAATGGGTAGGAAGTGGTGTCCCACCATGAAGCATTGCTTTTTGATAGTTGGTCATTGATTTGACTCTAGTACTTTAAAATATACTTTCCTGAAGGCTCAGGAATAGAGCAAAAATAAATAGACAAGATTGTGAACCCAGAGAACCTACTTATAATAGAGTGGCCAAGATTCCACTGGTGTTCTCAACGTGCCTAGAATTTTTGAAATCCAGACCAAGAAAAACAAGGTCCAGAAAAAGGCAAAATGAGCCAATCAGAGAAAGACAAGTATCACCTGATCTCACTTATTTGTGGAATATAATGCACAAAATAAGGTGATGAACAAAATAGACTCAGAGACATGGAAGTAGGGTTCAGACAGACAGACCTCAGAGGAGGGATTGGGGGGAGGGAAGAGATAACCGAAAGAATTTATGCATATAAGCATAACCAGTGGACATAGACAACAGTGCTGGGGGGTGGGGTGGGGTGGGAGGAGGGTGTCAATGGGGAAAAAAGGAGAAACATCTGTAACAAAAAATAATTAGTTAAAAACAAAAAGGGCAGGATTAACCCTATGACATTTCTGTGGTGGGGACTCCACCCCCCACCATGGGAATGGCCTCACTCTGAGGCTGCAACAGGACACCTGGGTTGGGATATGAGACAGACAGCACAGCGCCCCGGCACAGGCGCAGTGGGGTAGAGGAGAGCCCTGTTTTATTACATAGCTCCTTCACCGTAACTCCACACTCACCAGCTACTCATTTGATCTCAAATGTCGTTTCCCAGACTGTGTAAGACATGCTCAGTTTTCTTGGGCATGTTATTCCTATTGTAATTCAACAATCGATGCTCTGGTTGTAAATCGTTCTGTTGTGCTTGGTCAGTGTGACTCATTTCAAAAGGGCTTTCTTACCTCCAGAGGACTGTGAACACCCAGCTTCCTGAACCTGCAGAGCTGGGGCTGAGGTGCGGCCACCGAGGGCGATGTGCTGACACCACCACACGTTTCTCAGAGCCGGCGTACCTCATCAGTTCTCAGGACATCCTTTCCAGCTGGAGGTTTTACACCTTTTTGTGGGCTGTGCTTTCCCCGTGTGGGCAACCAAAGTCTCCATTAGAATCGGAGAATTCTGCTCTCAGGTTCAGGATTGAGAAAGAGAGTGAAAGAAGATAATTTTGTGGCTTCTCCACATTATAAGAAACCGATTCAACACGTATTTATTGCTTGTCTGCTATGAGCCTGGCCTTGTGCACATGGCTGGAAATACCGCCATGGACAAGCATGGCCCTGCCTTGATGCTGCCGATGGAAAAGAGCAGGAGGAAAGAGGAGGCCACGAGAGGACTGGTCTGTCCTGTGGGGTATTGCAAAGATCTGTCACTGTCTCCAAATATCTCCAGAGGACTCAAGGGGCAGTCACTGTATCCCAGCACCTAGTAGTTCACGCAATAAGCATTGGCGGGACTGAGCCAGGGAGTACGACAGAGCCAGGAAACATTAACTTTAAAAATTAATTTCTAGCCTATTTAGTACTATGTAGGTGCCCAGGGCATTACTGAAGGAGGTGGACTTAGAAGCCTAAACCCCTTATTCTCTTTGTTGCACCAGCTGGAGGAGGAAAGATGCTCACTCTCTAATTAAGTGTCTTTCCATTTCAGGTGTTGGATGAATATCTAGCTCCATGAAATATTAAGACCTTTTTCTGGTTTTGGAAGTTGGCCTTCTATTGGCATTGATTCTGAATTTCAGACAGAAAATCTTCAGGCATGGGAACACTTTTTGTTCCAAGTAACTGCTGTGCAGTGAAGTGGGAATAGACAGGAACATGCACCCAGAGTTCTTGGCCAGCGGTCAATCACCATGTTTTTAAAAAATATGTAGGAGTGAGGGAGAGACAGGGAGAGGGAGGGAGGGACAAAGAGGGAGAGAGAGAGAAACATCAATGTGAGAGGGACACATCGACTGGTTGCCTTCCACACGGCCCTGACCAGGGCTGGGGATGAACCACAACCAACATACGTGCCCTAGGCCGTAATGAAACCCATGAGTCCTTGGTCGAAGGCTGATGCTCTAACTGCTGAGCCAAACCGGCCAGGGCCAAGTGAGCATTTTTAAAGCCCTGCCCTGGGAGGAGACTGCAAAGGCTCTGATTTTGGAGCATCAAACATGGTTCTTTGCTGGGATGTGTTGCCTTGTTGAAATGCTTTAGGAATACCCAGCTGGCTCTTGTCTAATCATGATTCCAACTCATAACATTACAGTGTCTCATTTGATCTCTGTGTGGCCCTACCCACCTAGATGCAGATAAGCTGGGTGTACTGTCTGTTCTGATTTGGGTGCCTGGTCACATCTCCATGCATTGAGGAAATTAAGCTTTTAAAGCTGTGATCCTGAGGTTCCAACCTTGGGCTTTTCAGCCACTGTGGCCTGGTGGGCCTTTACCTTTGGTTTCTCAGATGCCTTTGTTGGAGAGAGATTGGGTGATTGGTCATGAGGGTGACCTCTCTGCGCTGTGCTAGGGACTGTCGTTCCTAGAAATATGAGGAAAAAAGACATAAGAACAGCTAACTAACGAGACCTCTAAGACCCAGGCCAGAACAGAAGTTGGTGTCCTGGGTGGCCTGCCTGCTTTTGGAGTTTTCGGATTGAAGAGAAAGAGGATAGAATCACATTGCAATTGGGAATTTTGACCTCAAATCTGAATGGGTCATTAGGTCATCTTCCTCTGTACAAGCTGGTCACCGTAGGTCTTTGGATCTGTGGCATTGGCTACCAGCTTCTGGAATGCCTTTCTAGCTGTGCTGGGTGTGTGTATTGTGTGTGTGTGTGTGTGTGTGTGTGTGTGTGCATGCACGCATGCACTTATTTTTCAGGGTTAATAGGTGTTTTTTTTTTGTTTTTCTTTAATGTGCTAGTCCTGTGCCTGAGTTAGCAGTCACTTGGAACACTCATCTGCTGATGTTTACCCCTTAACATGGAAGGAAATAAATATTGTCCAATTCCAAGGTAACTGGCGTGTGTACCCATCATAATCCACCAGGGATATTGGTGAAGAGCCTTTACTCATTCCAGGCCCTCTTCCTAAATCCAGGAGATGGAGAGAATGGCTTGGCCTGTCTTTAAGAAGCAGAATGCCCAGGGGTGATGTGGGAACCTGCGTTGGAGGAGGAAAGATTGGATAGTCGGAAGAAGGGATGAAAGTGTTGGGATCAGGTATGGGAGAAGGGTGATGTTCAGGCAGCTGTGAAAGGTGGCTGGGGCCTGCTAATCACACCCTTTGTTTCTGGGTTTGAGATATCTTTGTATCCCTCTCCCCCCAGAAGTTGGCCTAAACTACGCGTGAACAGGTAAACTTCCTTTTCATGTGTAACTTTCATTATTGCTGGCCAGGGTGCGTTCAGCTGCTTAAATGAGCGATTAGTCTCTTATTGCTACTCCAGGAAGCTTGGTGAGGATGTTTCCTCTTGAGGAAGTTATTTTTAATGATGCCAGTATCACAAAGAACCCAGCATCAAGAAAACATGGGGGTGGGGGGAGTGTACCCAGCAGCAGCTGCTCCTCCTCCAAGAGCCTCGTTTCCTGTTTGCTGGTTCGGGAACCAGCAGCTGCCTACTTCTAACCCCCCCTGTCAGCAAGCTGGTGTGAGACCTTTGCCTCACTGCCTATTGTGACCCAGATATTCCTCACTGTGGTGAGAGGATCAGACTCTGGGGCTGCTTCCCAGACACGCTGGCAGCTTCTAAATTTTGAAACAGCTTATGTTTCTGCAAAGCTTAGAAAGGCAACCTTGGGTCTTGATAACAGATGCTGTGCAAAGTACTACCTTACTCCAGCCTTCAGCTTGCTGGGTGCCATTGTGCTTTTGATGGCCCAAGCTGATTACTTGGAGACTTGGATGAAATACTATTGCTTTATGGACTTTTTCAAGGGTGCTAGGTGACTGCTTTACAGGAGAGGCCGGAGGCTCTGTCTTCCAAACCTGTCTTCAGGATTCAAGAACTGAGAGGGAAAAGCAGTGGGAACAAAAGCCCCTCCTTTTACGTGAAGACCACCAAAGGGTGGCTGCAGGGGACGGTTGGCCAGAATTCTGTGCTTCTCTGGAGAACCTTGATATTGTTACTTATCACTCTTGTCTGCAGGTGTTTTTATCAGGGCAAAGGACTGCTTTTCTGCTCTCAGGGCCTTTGCACATGTGACTCTCATTAACTTTGGTGTCTCTCCATCCCTAAATGGTTCATTTATGAACAGGAGTGGTGTAAGGAGAGGAAAAGGAGGAGTAGACAAACACTTTCTCTGTAATAGGTAAGTGGTTGATATTTCTTGTATCTGACTCTTTCACAGATATATTTTACTTGCTAATCCCTGGCCAGCCCTTGAGGGTGGTGTCACTGTTTCTTTCTGACCCCAGAGAGTAACAGGAAGACCCCAGCTGGGGCCAGCACTGTGCACAGATGTGGAGAACAGCAAAGCCAGGGGACAGCTGCTCAGGCAGAATGCGGAAAGCACTCTCCCAGCTTTATTTTCATGTACTTTTTCCTTTTTTAATGTTTATTTATTTTTGTCACAGATGTTTCTCCTTTTCCCCCCACTGACACCCTCCTCCCAATCCTGTCTGCCCCGCATTGTTGTCTATGTCTTTGTTTACACCTATATGCGTATCTCTTTTCTCCCCCCACATCCACCTCTTCTGAGGATTGTCAGTCTGCACCCCACTTCCATGTCTCTGGGTCTATTTTGTTCCTCGGCTTGTTTTGTTCATTATATTCCACAAATAAGTGAGATTATGTGATATTTGTCTTTCTCTGATTGGCTTGTTTTGCTTAGGATAATACTCTCCAGGTCCCTCCATGTTGTCTCAAAGCATAAGAGATCTTTCTTACAGCTGCATAGTACTCCATTGTGTATATGTACCATCTTTCTTATCCACTCATCTATTGATGGACACTTGGGTTGTTTCCAGATCTTAGTGATTGTAAATAGTGCTGCTATGAACATAGGGGTACATATATTCTTTCTGATTGGAGTTTCAGGCTTCTTAAGGTATATTCCCAGAAAGTGGGATCACTGGGTCAAAGGGCAGTTTGATTTCTAATTTTTGAGGAAACACCACATTGTTTTCCATAGTGGATGCACCAGTCTGCATTCCCACCAGCAGTATTTTTCTATTAAGTGTTTTGACACGAGATGAAGCCTGGTGCTTCCCTCTGCTCTGCTTGTTATACTGTCTGTAATGCTAGTTTCCAATAAAAGCACTGTGGTCAAACCAGACTTCAGCTCATTTCCCTTAAATGGAACGAGAGGCTATTGCCATAGTTTTGATTGACGAAACAGCATAGATTCCATGATGTACATGTTTCTCATGATAACGTTTAAGCCATCTAAACAAATGCCTTCTGAGTTATTTTTATTATAATTTTATTCATTTGTCTAGAAAAAAAGGTGAATTAACACGTGGTGAAATTGGTAGAACTGGCTGACGGAAGAGTTGGTGATGTCTGAAGAACAAGCAGGCTTTTCTGTCCCAGACAAGAATTTCTTAGCTAATAATAATAGTCTGGCTACTATTTATTGATCTTAACCTGGGTCCTATCTAGTCACATTTTATATAATATCACATTAACTCTTTAACAGCAACTCCATGAAGTGGGTACTGATATTTTCATTTTCCTGAGGCTCAGATCATGACTTTTTCATGGCTTTAGCAGAGGGGTTGGCAAGACCAGAAAGTAAATCTCTTAGCCTTTGGGCCACAGTGTCTCTGTCACACTACCCAGCTTTGTTATTGTAATACTAGAGAAGCCTTAAAGAAGGCAAAGCCAAATGAGGGTGTCTGTTTCCAATAAGACTTTATTTATGGACACTGACATTTGAATTTCATATAATTTTCTCATGTTACAAAATACTATTCTTTTGATCTTTTCCCACCATTGCACAATTTAAAAATCATTCTTTACTTTCAATCTGTACAGGAATGGGGTGGGCGGGCGTTGCCGACCCCTGATGTCGATGATGAGCATAGGCAGGGAAGGAGGAGAGGGTTGGGATGAGGTGGGAGGAAGGACACTCCTGTCAGAGGGAACAGCATGTGTGCAGGTAGCAGAGAGCAGGAAGTATTTGAGGAAATGCGGTTAATGCAAGTGCAGTTGGACAGGGCGTGTGGCATGATCAGAGGACACATCAGGGCCCAAGACAGGACCTTGGAGGACATTTTAAGGATGTTGGACTTTGTCTTTAGATCAATGAGAAGTCATTAAAAGTATTCAGCAGAGGAATGACAAGGACAAGTTTTTTTTTTTTGTTTGTTTGTTTGTTTTTTTTTAATATCATGGGCTGATGTGTGGAGAAAGGATTGCGGTGGGTTAGTAAGAGTAGAAGTGAAAAAGCCAGTTTTGAGAAGTGGGCCAGGTGGGTGATGATGGCAGCGACTAGTGAATGTGGCCTGACGGTTCCTGACGGCATCTCTGGGCAGCGGGGGTGACCAGTTCTGCAGAGGAGGGAAGTGTAGCTGGGAGAGGCGAGCATCTTGCCTGGACACACAGCCCATGGAAGCGGAACAAAGACAAGGACCCTGGTCTTCCGACTTCAAGTCTGGTGACGTTTTCCCAGGAAGGTGTGAAATCTGTAACATTCCCAGTCATGTTTATCTTAATTTGCCATGTACCTCTGAGCCCTGCAGCTGAAAAGCTCCTCTCTCTCTCTCTTATAAAATTCTCATAAATGAGGACAGCGCCTCTTGGGCTTGAGTTGTTAATTCTCATTTCCTGAGAAAATTAATTTTGTTGTTGAGAGAAATAACTCCTTGTTCAAACAGGAGAAAGGCCAAAGATGACACTGCGGTGATGATTTTGTGTTATTTTTGTGCTGACATTAGAAAGGTAGCTGACTACTTTTTTTTAAAGGTCAGTTTTTCTTAAAATCTGTGCAGCCTTCCTTGCTGAGCGAGAATCGGTACATTCTCATGCCCTCGGAGGACAGGTTTGTCCCGCTGGGCGCCCTGGGCCGGCCGTTCTCCGGGCACTCGCGGCTGGGCCCAGCGCTCCTCTCGGCCGATGCCCAGGGGGCGGGTCTGTTGGGGGGGGGGGTGAGCAGAAGGGTGCTGGTAGTTTTGCTTCAGGTGTCTGGGGTTGTGCCCTAGAGGGGGCGGCGAGTGCCCTGGACCTCGGAGCTGTGGGAAGAGGGGAACTTCGAGAGGTTTGGTGGGCGGGCGGGCCCCAGGGCTGTAACTGCGCAGGGAATCTTGATTTCGGCTGGTTCGGTCTCAGGACTGCCATGTCCCTCTGTGCTCCTTCCCCACGGAGAGGGAGGGTCTGTGGTGCCCTGGTCTGGCTCAAGCAGCTCCTCCTATCCCATGTCGATGAGGTGTTTCATCACGGAAAACGGAGAAAATCAAGAGATAGAGGAGAAAACGCAGAAAACGGAGAGATTCAGTATGGAGAGGAGAGCACGCTGGAAACAGAGAGAACCAAGAGATAGAGGAGAAAATGCAGAAAACAGGGATAATTAAGAGATAGAGGAAAGAACGCAGACAGGGGAGAGAATGCAGAAATGAGAAAAAAATCGGGAAATAGAAGAGAGAAAGCAGAAAACGGAGAAAATCAAGAGATAGAGGATAAACGCAGAAAAAGAGGAAAATCAGGAGATACAGGAGGGAATACAGAAAATAGAGAGATTCAGTACAGAGAACAAAGATCGCGGAAAATGGAGACAAGAGACAGAGGAGGGCCCTGGCCGGTTTGGCTCAGCTCAGCGGTTAGAGCGTCGGCCTGCGGTCCCGAGAGACCCGGTTCGGTTCCGCTAAGGGCGCGTATCTCCGCTGCAGTTTGTCCCCGGCCCTGGTTGGTCGTGTGTGTGGCAGCCACTCGATCGATGTGTCCCTTTCACGTCGATGTTTCTCTCTCTCTCTCTCTCTCTCTCTCTCTCTCTCTCTCTCTCTCTCTCTCTCTCTCTCTCTCTTCCTCTCCTCACTTATTGAAAGTTGATTATGTGACACGCACCGGGTTAAGTTCTGGGGGACAACAACGAGAGAAGACATGGTGTCCGATGTCAGATACATCCCAGTCCAGTGGAGACAGAAAAGGAAACAATAGTCGCTTGGTACAAGGCGCGGGCAGCCGGGGAGCCTCTCCCTGGCCTGGAGGATAGGACCTCCCGAGGGCTCTCCCCGCTGAGGCCCCCAGTGTGGCCCAGCGCAGTCAGCGCCCCAGGCGGCTCTGGGGGACTAACAGCTCCGCACTTGCCTTTCTCCGTTTGTGCAGGGTGGAGATGTCTGCCCAGAGGGTGATTTCTAACACAACGTCCCAGCAGTCTGCCTCCAATTCTGATTACACCTGGGAATATGAGTATTATGAGATTGGACCGGTTTCCTTTGACGGACTGAAGGCTCATAAATGTAAGTCTGATACAGTCTCCACTGTGAGCATAATATGCATGTGTCTCAACCTGTGAAACCCCCAGTGATTGCTTTTCCTGAACACTCCACCTTTTCACAGGACTTTGTCCTCTACCCCCCACAAAACCCCAGAAAACACCCCCTCCAAACCCAGACTGATTGCTCAGGGATGGTATGCCAACAGGGCTTTGGTGATTCTGGGGGTCAAGGAACTTGAAAGACTCCCTTAGTGGGGGCACATGAATCCAAGTAATTTTTAAACAGAGGTGTTTTGTTAAAGCAGTAACCATTCCAGCTCTCCCACACTGTGTGAACATTTGGACTATCAAAAATGTGACAAAAGTAGAATCTGGAACTGTTCATTGAAGAGCCTAGTTTTGTAACACATGGTCAACGACGTCTCTCAGTCCATTAGTTCTCTGCAGCTGGGAGAGCAGTCTGCCTGCAGATGTTCATCATGATGGGCAAGAACAGCCTGTGATCATTCCTAGCTCTGTGTTATAGGAATCGTGCGTCCTGTTCTTGGAGTGATTAATGATCCAGCACAGAACAAGGAAATATAATTCTGTGAAAGGTTACTGTCCAATTCCAGTCACAACTGAAAGCTGGCTGTGTTTTCTTAAGTAGAGTTGGCATAGTGGACAGGAACTGCTGCCCACTCCCAGGTCCGGTCGTGGCTACATCATAACTATTCCAGAGATGTTCGGTTGTTTCAGAATGAATATCCTTAGCACTACCAACATTTTAGGTTTGTGACTGTTTCCGATTAATGGGGAACACTAGGAAACATGAGACATTGGAACTGGAGATGCAGATGTGGCCAAGGGAACGAATCTGCTCCTTGGGTGTTTCCTGGCCACTCCCACGCTGACCTTGGCATTCGGGGTTCCTCACACTCGCTGCTGCTCCCTTGCAGGGAGGATTTTCTTTCTTTCTTTCTTTTTTCAGCTTTATTAAGGTACAATTGACGAATAAAACTGTAATATATTAAAAATGTACAGTGAGGATTTGATATATGTATATATTGTGACAGGATTTCCCTCATTGAGTTCATTAACATATTAATAAACACAAGTATTTTTATTTATTAGAACATTTAAGATCTACTCTCTTGTAAAATTTCAATTATACAATACAGTGTGATCAGCTATACTCTCCATGTTTGACAGATCCTCAGACCTTATTCATTTTAAAAATGAAAATGTGTGCCCTTTGACCAGCATCTCCCTTTCCCACCCACCCCTCCCTCCACCCCTGGCAGGCACTTCTCTACTGTCTGTTACTATGAGTTTAATTTTATTTTTAGATTTTACAGCTGAGTGATATCATGCAATATTTGTCCTCTACCATCTGGCTTATTTCTCTCAGCATAATACCCTTCAGTTTCACCTATGTTATCATAAATGACATAATTTCCTTCTTAAAAGCTGAATAATATTCCATCTTGTGTGTGTATATGGGTGTGGGTGTGTGTGCGCATTTGTGTGTATATCACATTTTTTGATCCATTCGTCCATTGATGGACACTTTAGTTGTTTCTATACCTTAGCTATTGTGTATAATGCTGCAATGAACATGGAAGTATAAATATTCTCTTTAAGATGATGGTTTTGTTTCCTTTGGATATATATTCATAAGTGGGATTGCTGGATCATATGGTAGTTCTAGTTTTCTTTTTTAATCCTCACCTGAGGATATTTTTCTATTTATCTTCAGGTAGAGAGGGAAGAAGAGAGAGGGAGAGAGAGAGAGAAACATTGACGTGAGAGGGATACATTGACTGGTTGCCTCCTGCACGACCCCGACCAGGGCCAGGGAAGAACCACAACCTAGGCATATGCCCTTGGCTGGAATCAAACCTGGGACTCATTGGTCCACGGGCCGGCGCTCTACCACTGAGCCAAACTGGACAGGGCTATTTTTATTTTCTTAAGGAACATCTCTTTTGTTTTTCATAGTGGCTGCATCTGTTTATATTCCCACCAACAGTGTAGGAGGGTTCCCTTTCTCCACGTCCTCACCAGCATTTATTTCTTGTGTTTTTGATAATAGACATCCTAACAGGTGTGAGGTGATATCTCACTGTGGTTTTGATTTGCATTTTCCTGATAATTCGTGATATTGAGCACCTTTTCCTGTACTTACTGGCCATTTGAATGAGTTTTTTAGAAGAATATCTGTTCAGAGGACCTGCTCCAGGAAGGGGGATATCATCATAGATAACTGTAGTTGAATCTGAAATAGAGTAGACAGAAAGGAACCTAGCAAAGCCCATTTGATCAAAGTCTTCCATGTCCCATTTTTTCAAGATGGGCCAACAAACGTTTATTTACTTTAACTTTTCATCCCCTTGTAAATTTGCCTTACTTCCTGGAAGTCTTAGACCCATTCTTCCCCGTTCTTGGTCCAGAATGACACATATACCTCACTTTGCCTTATTGTCTTTGAAATTTTCATGCTTATGTGTATTCTCTGTGCTTACATATTAAAACTTGATTTTTTTTCCTATTTAAAAAAAAAAGAAAAGAAAAATATCTGTTCAGGTCCTTTGCCCATTTTTAAATTGGGTTGTTTATTTATTTTTTGCTATTGACTTGTATGAATTCCTTGTGTATTCTGGATATTAATCCATTACTGTGGTTTGCAAATATTTTCTCCCATTCTATAGGTTGCCTTTTCATTTCACTGATGGCTTACTTTGCTGCGCAGAGTTTTTTAGTTTGATGTAGTCCCACTTGTTAATTTTTGTTTTTGTTGCCTTTGCTTTTGGTGTCCAATCCAAAAAATCATTCCCAAGACCCATGTGAAGGAGCCTACCCCCTATGTCTATGACCACTATTTTGAACTCTATCAGGTAAATAACTTACCTCTATTTCATTTAGATCTGCTTCTAGAAATGTATCCTGTTCTTTTGTTTTGAGCATATTCCCCTGTCTTTGTTTTCTTTGACTCTCTGTGTGGTTCTGGGCGTTAGATAAAACAGCCAGCTCTCCCAGTCTGAACGGAGTGATCTTGTGTAGGAGAGGAACCCTGTCATTCTGCCAGGCCTGGTTGTCTCTTAAGCTTTTATGATCGTCCAAGCTGCCTCCTTTGCTCTTAGTGGCTCCTAGTAGTTCAGGGTGTTATCAAGACCTGTCTGTATCCCAAAGGAGGGGTTCATGGTCAGCAACTAGATGCAGTCTGATTAGAAGCTGGACCCTCAGGCAGCAGCTAGATAAGGTTGTAGTGAAATCCTTCCAGGGAGAACTGGGAGATGGGCATTTTTGTCTGCTCCCTCTGTGCTGAGCCTGGTGTGTAGACGTGAGGCGTGCCCTGCGCCTGTGAAGAACTGCTTCTTTGTTTACTACACTCCAGTAGAACTCATGAATGCAAGCCCCCTGGCCTCTCAGAGCCAGGAGATCGGAGGTCTGCCCCTTGGGTAGCTGTGGCAAAGGCTGGGACACCAGACCTGTGTACAACCTCCTTCCAGGGATATATGGCAACGTGGTTTTATTATTGGAATGGGTGGAGAGAAAAGGATGGGGAGATGTCCAAAGGCCTCCATGGTCTTTAGTCTCTGGCCAGCCCCTCAATGCCTGCTAAATTAGAAGCCTGATCCTTAGGCAGCATCTTTTCAGGTAAGCAGATAAACCTCTTTCAAAGAAAGATTGGGAGATGGTTTTTTTTTTTCTGCTCGCTCTTTACTGAGCCCTGGGGGAGAGCTAGGGGGAGGGCCTATGTGCCCATAAGGAAATGTTTTTTTGTTTTGCTGTAGTCTTGGGGTTCTCATGGATGGATGCAAGCTAGAGCTAGATGTTTTGGGACCCATCTCTTCAATGGGAGTCCTAAAAGTTGGGACTCTAGACGTATGATCCAAACCCTTCCCTTTTCAGAGAGAAAATGGGAGTTAGGGGTTCCATCCCAATTGTATGTTGCTCTGTGCTAGGGGTGGGGTTTGTGGCAAGAGTGTGTCTCAGCCTTTCCTACCCACTTAGACATGGGTATTTTCTCATTTGCAGAGTGTAGGAGTTGACCAGTTGTTTCTGGATCTTTTCCAGAGGGAATTGCTCCATATATAGCTGTGTATTTGGTGCATTCATAAATTTAAGAGACAGGGAGCTCCGGAGCCTCCTAAATTTCCATCTTGGTCAGCTCTGGATTTCAGCTACTTAAGTGGGTAACCTTTGTCCCCGTTCCCCTGTTGCAGGAAGGACCATAACAGCCCAGACGTCATGTGCAGGTCCTGAGGACTCAGAGGCACTGTGTGCTGGTGGCTGTGCAGAGCGTTCAGCTGGGCAGTTAGAGGGATGGGGGCAGTAGTACTCCTTGTCTGGTCCCCACCTCCCGGTCTCCATCAGTGGGTCTGGGAGGGTTTCAGTTACTCATTTCCTGGATAGAGGGCTTTCTATTTTTATTCCCTAAAAAAAAAATCATTAACTAAACTACATATCCCTTTCCCCAGAAGTGAATAGTAATAATTAAATGTTTCCACTCATTCCTTTGTTGATGTTTTCCCAGTAGTTCTTTGTGGAAATAAATTTTAAAAAAGCACATGGAATCCATTTGGAGATCCTGTTATTGACAATCTGAGGAATGCTGTTGCTGTCAGGGTGTGAAATTATCCTCCTTAATTTACTTTAATCTGTTGTTTCTCTGGGACAATATTTCAGTAAGGACACTTGCTTGTGGAAATCAAAATAACTGGGAAAATTCCTGGCTGGTTTGGCTCAGCGGTTGGAGCGTTGGCCTGCAGACCAGAGAGTCCTGGGTTCGGTTCCCGTTAGGGGCATGTACAAAAAACAACAGCAACAAAAACTGAGCAAATTGTCATACATTTTCCTGTAATATAGGCTTTAATACCTTTGCTCTAGCCTCTTTTCCTTAGTGTAAGGGGCAAAGAAGACAGCCCTGCTGCTGTGGTTTTAGTTGGAACATTTTCAGAGACAATTGAACTCTTTTTAAAGCATATTACTTTCTAGAAATAATCATGGCTAGAAAAAAATTCCTGTGAAACATAGGCA